GAAGGTCCAAGGCTTTGATTGACCAACGGTTGACCAGTGGTTGACCATGAGCCAGCAGTGTGCCCTGGTGGCCAAGAAAGGCCAATAATGGTCAACTTCAACAGGTCGACTCCAGTGGTGGCCAACAGGTTGACCAAGGGTTGACTGTGAGTCAGCAGTAGATCCTGGTGGCCAAGAAGGGCTAATAATGGTCAACAGGTCAACTTCAGTGGTGGCCAACAGGTTGACCAATGGTTGACTGTGAGTCAGCAGTATGCCTGGTGGCCAAGAAAGCTGATGGTGGCCAAGAGGTTGACCAATGGTTGACCTACAGCTGACCACAAACCAGCAGTGTGCTCTGGTGGCCAAGTAGGCTAATGGGAGCCCAGAGTCCATTGCCCAGAGCATGGCCAACAGGGCGAGGGAGGTGCTTCTCCACTCTGCTCTGCACTGGGGAGGCTCCATCTGGAGCAGCGGGCCCAGCGTTGGGCTCAGCTGTTGCCAAAGGGCTGGACTGCAATCAGAGCACAACTCAAAGCAATTTCTGCCATTTCAGTGCTACCTGACCTGCCACAAGAAGTGTCTGGAGAACCTGCTGATCACCTGCGGGCACAAGAAGCTGCCCAACCGGGCGCCTCTCTTTGGCATTGACTTCACCCAAGTTCCTCGAGACTTCCCGGAGGAGGTTCCCTTCATCGTGGTGAAGTGCACCTCTGAAATTGAAGCTCGTGCGTTGGGAGTGCAGGTGAGCAGAGAGTTGTTCTGCTGAGCCTCTCCTCCGCTCTTCGTGCCCCGTAGCTGGAATGCCTGCCCTCTCCTCTCCTCCTAGGGGATCTATCGGATAAGTGGATCCAAAGCCCGGGTGGAAAAGCTGTGCCAAGCGTTTGAGAATGGCAGGAGCCTGGTGGAGCTCTCCGAGCATTCCCCCCATGACATCACTGGTGTCCTGAAGCATTTCCTGAAGGAAGTGGGTACCAAATATCTGCCAGTGGGCAGCTCCCAGCTGACCCCATCCTGCAGCGTGGGATGAAGTAACTCACTGTCTTCCTCCTCTCGTTGTAGCTTTCAGGACCCATTCTGTTGTACCAGCTCTATGACAACCTCATTGCGCTTGCCAAAGAATTGCAAAAAGCTGGGGAAGAGAAGGTGGACTGCATGAGCTTCCCCTCAGATCCCATCCAGAGCATGAAAGACTTGCTGAGCAAATTGCCTGGGAGCAACTACAACACTCTGCGTCATCTCATCGCACACCTGTACAGGTGAGGAGAGTGCTGGTGCTGTGGAGGGTAAAAAAAATACATTTATCATGGAGTCATTAAGGTTGGAAAAGAGCTCTCAGGTCGTCATATCCAATGTCTGACCCATCACCCATT